AATGTGAGCCAATGAATCAGGAGCCATTCATGCGAAATTTTGTTTGAGATCTGGACGCGAAAGGTCAGGGCCTTCGTCCTTTTATCTTTGAGAAATAACAGCCACATGTCACTGAGATTTATGTGTGTATTATGACTTTCAGGCTCAGCAGGCACCGAACACACTCTGCTCAAACTCTCCATCGTTGACCTAAAATGTCTCGTGAACCGTACCTGACAGGTCAGGTCGCGTCCTGCCCGTCGTAACGGCCAAGGTCAAGGGAAACAGTTGTCTGCAGTCATCTGGAAGTGGAGCCTGTGGGCTGTAAACACTGTGGTCAGCTCGCGGTCAATACGTGCAGCTCTCCCACGCCACATCATTGTCAAGTCAAGACAACATGTAGGGGTCCTGAGATGCAAATCACTGTCTGAAAGGATTAAGTGAAGTTCAATTGACATGCAAAAGTTAACTCTGGGTAGAAACTACGAGAATGTCTTTAACATTGAATTATTTGACCTTCTTCTCTAGGAAATAGTTGTGTAAGGAAGTATATAAATGTCTTCCTGTCTCGTAGCCTGATGCAGTTTTGCATAATATTCAAATGATCTAACTCAAACTGAATCCCTGACAACAATGCACATTTATTTTCAGCTCCTTTTTTCTATCATCTGTTAATAAATGTTTGGAAATGAAAGAGGGCCTTGACATGGACTCAGGCTGTTTGCCATGCTGGGTTAAATTAAAGTCCTCTGTGGAGCTTTTTGCTGGGCTAAAACATTGAAGGTTAGGAGTTTTCCGGCTCATCAGGCTTCAGCTGAGTTAATGAACCCTCGTGGCCCGGCCCCCGCGCTCTGGTCTGAGCATTACTCACGGGCTAAGCAGGGGAAAAAGAAGCTGCCAGTGTTGCTACGCCTCAGTGAGCCACTGCACACACACGGATCATGACTGTGGAAGTTACAGGGTCACAGAGGTCTGCACAACATCTGCTGATCCCGTGTGATATCTCAGGAGAGTTAAATCGGGCTTCGCCGCAATATGGATAAACAAACACAAACATGCTGGGACATAATTGAATTACTTCCATCCACCAAGAACATTGGAGATGAAGGGTGGATGCCCCTGGACATGTTTGTGTGTTTGTTAGAGCTGTAAAGTCAACTGATGTCATCTCACGGAAGATCTTCTGGCCCAGATTCAACCATTTCACTTTGATTCACAGAAGTGTACAACACGCCCATCATGGAGTGACACAATCTGTATTTACAGATTCTACAAAAAAATGTAGAATGTGTCCACGGGGGTCTGGATGTCAGCATGGGAAGTGTTCTTGTTTCAGTTTGTTGTAGTCCGAGCTGTGTTGAGCAATTAGGTATCAGCAGGCTTTAGTACAGGAGAAACAGTCCGTGTGGACAGCCAAAACAAGGCAGAACGTTTTTTTGCGCTAATGACATACCAGCTCATATCAGCGGTAATCTTATGACAGTTTATGGATCTCCGCTGACAAGCCATTTGAGATCAGAATTATTTCAACTTGCACAAATTAGCTTGAAGCTGTGTAGGTAAAGCTAATTAGCGTTTAGATTTCACGACTTCCTGAAATACATCAGAAATTATCAATCCGACCTCCATTCAACAAGCAAGCATCTTAAAAGTTGTTTTCTTCTTGACGACAGACTTGACAAAGCTTGCATGTTTACTTTTTACAAATCTGCATCATGATGTTGTTTCAGCAGACTTGGTAATAGGGGACGAAGCACCAGAATCCAACCCTAACCCAAGATGATAGTGCTGGATGATAGAGGAAGCGTCAGTGCTAGTCCGATGATCACATCGCTTATTGCTGCGTAGGTGTAATGTAAACATCATCACCCTGCGCGCTTGCTAACTGGGAATTTTCCTGAATATATCCTGCTGTGTTCCAACATCGGCTCATCCTGACTTCACAACAACATTTTACCCGGGGGCCGGCAAGGAAAGTTACAGTAATATTTCAGTGACCAAATCGCCCGTTGACATTCACACATGCAGCTCACCCCACAGATTTCTGGATTTTTTAAATTTGTAAATGTTAAATGTACTTGAGCTTATATAGTGCTTTTCTAGTCTTCAGACTACTCAAAGCGCTTTTACAGTGCAGGTCACAACTACACATTCAAACACATTCACACACTGATGGCAGAGGTTGCTTTGTAGTGAGACCATCAGAAGTAACTAATCCCATTTATACACCGCCGATAAAGCAGCAGGAGCAATTTGGGGTTAAGTGTCTTGTCCAAGGACCCATCGGACTTGAGGCTGCAGGAGCTGCAGGATTCTACACTATGAACAGTCTCTTTCTCCTAGCATGCCATCAGTGTATGGATTTGGTGTTTAATGGGTGAAGTAGACAGAAGACTAGAAAAAGGCTGTACAAGCTCAAGTCCATTTACCATTTGACCATTTCAAAGCTCCGTTAGGAAGTTAATATGAAATGGTGTGCTGTTTTTAATGAAGCCAATACACAAAACCATTTGGATACACTCAAAATATAATATTAACTTATGAACATTAACTGCACTTATCTATGAAGAAGAACACATGCTGCTTTACTCACCATGCAATTACAGAGCATTACATTCAGTGCTGTTTCGTCTAAAACATCCACCGGAATTACAGCATGCATTATTTAACTTATTATTAATTCATGGTCAATTCCATCAGTGATAAACATTTATGTCTCTAAAAAGCACAAAAATAAACTGCATGTAGAGATGAAGCATACATTTGAGGAGATACAGTACAGACTGAAACGCTTACAGCTTGGCAACAGAGAGCTTTTCCAGTTATGCAGTGTTGATTACTTGGCCTAGATACAACAATATGGATTATTCTTATCCTCGCTTGTGATGCATCATGGGGCAAAGGGTTTTTAAGTTCACTGGTTTACATAAAGCGTGCAACATCAAATATCCAATGCTATGCTGCCATCATGCTGAGATATTTCCATAAAACTTCTGTAATTCAATTAAAATCTGGTGTCTAGTTATTATAGAGTCAAAGAGGGAAACAGCAGCGAGGACATTTATAGATTTCAAGAAGATTGTGAGAAATTCTAGCTTCCTGCTCTTGTGTTTTCATCTGAGTGGAAGAAAATCCAGAGATTTCATTATTAACCCATCACTGAAGCAAAGAAGCTCTGTTTGATTAGAAGTAATTACTTGACCGCAGACCCCCAAAAAAAGCCTTAAATGGGATTTGGACTGAAAGCTACTGGCCATTCACACAACACTAAAGAGCATGTAAATCTCCGCCTGCGGTCCGTGGGAGTAGCTAAGCAGCCGTGCAGAAAAGAACGCCTTTAGAAATCTGTTTACATTTCTTTGACGGCTGCAGATTACAATTGGATTGGTTTTAAACTTCCACCAAGGCGCTGGAAGAGCTCCCTGACAGAGTTTGGATTGGGAATGAGTGGCCTTACTGTATGCTTATATGTCACAAAACATTAGCTTACGCGCAGACTGATGTTTAAATGGTGATGCTATTCAAGGATTTGTGGGTGGGAAGAGTCTTATTCGCTTTCAATGATCTGGTTCATCCAACAATTGCTTGATTGTGTTATTGTCCGGCTGAATCATGAATGCCATTCACTGGTATTTTAGGAAAGATGTAAAAGAAGAGCATAAGCCTTGAAAGATGAAAGAGAGAGCTACAGCTTTCATAAAAAGTATAAAAAGTGTGTAGCACAAATCTGCAAGGTTAATCAAGGCAGCAGCTAACAGCGCAGTGATTTAACTAAGATATATACTCTATGGTTAATACAGTCAAGTTTAGATAAGGAGCAAAGGTCAGGCTGATAGTGTTGAAACTGGTTGTTGCCATTTAATTTGACTTTCGTGGGCATTTTTGTTATGTGAAATTCAAATGGGATTAGTGTTTTATCCTTCACAAAGAAAAACATGATCCTTGCTCCACAATCTGTACTTTATCATACAGAAATATGCTAAATTTGGATGTATTGGAATGAGTATAAATGTGATCCATGTATGATGTTAACCCTCTTCATCATATGTGTCCTCTGTTGTTATGTGCAATGTAAATGACTGCGGTGTCACTTGAGGAGATGGTTTCTATGAGATGAGTTCTAAATTTGATCATAATTTCAATGAGAAAAACACACAGTGATATAACTAGTGTTGATAAAACTGGCCCTCCCCTCTCCCCACTAATCATTCAAATTATCCTGAGTCAGTAATATGTGTGTGGTCTTTTGCTAAACAACACAAAAAAACTGGAAATATCATCCATTAGTTTGTTCCATATAAAAGTTTAATGCTGCATTAATGTGCTCTAAAAAATATAAAACATTTTCTTTATTCTAAAATATGTGGATTAGCAAAACACTTTTTTGTTATTTATCTATCTTAGTTCAAAGGGACAATATTTATTCTGGTTTAGATATCTTCTTTTTAAATATAGGTAAAACAGGCATAATGAGTCTAAAAGTGTGTGTACTTTGGTCCTTGGCAATGTTAGTTACCTGCCAAAAAAATATGGTAGTGTCTCCAGGGACTCTGATTCATCTAGTGTGTCATCTAGTGTGTCATCTTGTTATACTATGATGTTTTGGAGATGCTGTGTGGCAAAATCTCATTTGGACACTTTATTTTGGCTCAGATTGGCTTTATTTTGTCTTATATTGTGCATGTTCTTATTTGAAGCTAATTAAAAAAAAATTAAAAAGCACACCCAAAAAATAAGAGTAAGTAAGGTGGGGTGACTTTTGAGCCCAAGGCCTCCTAACAGTTTAATCTGGCCATGCACCTCTTAAGTGGCACACACTTAATGGGAGTGAATGAGCACTTTATGTGGGCAGGTGGAAAGAGTTAAAGCCCTGCTTACGCAGTCTCATAGTAGGCTACTCATTATAAATATTTATTTAGTTTTGTCGCTGTTTATTTATATCAGGTCACTTGACAAGACTTCTGAGCGATGCTGAAAAGGATGCAGCAGCAGCAGCAGCAGCAGCTTCTTCCTCGCTGCAAACTACGCCCTTCAAAACAAACACAATACGGAAGAAGGAAGTTATGCACCTGTTGCTGCTGTCTCTTTGTCTACCTTTCAACGAGTTTCTACCTGTGAGAATTAGTGGTAAGAAATTCCTTGTTATCAACAACACTTTGAATGGTTGACCAACTCTGCCGAGTCAATATTTGTTGAGCGACTTTAGTTTCGATTCTGTGAAAGACATGAATAGCCTGCGTGAGAGACGTGAGAGACTGACGGGTCGAGTAATAATGTACTGAAACAAGTTGTTTTTTTTTCATTTAGGCTACATATAATTGTTGTTGTGAGCATGGCAGATGTTAAGGAGGAAGCAGTGCCAGGTGAGGAGCAGCAAAAGCAGCTCGACTCCACTTCTGATGGACCGGAGGACACACAGCCTGCTGTCCGCTCAGAGGACACAGAGGAGCGGCCACCGGAGGTCGGAGTGACCCCCTCCACCCCCCAGCATGGAGCCAGCTCTGTGGTGTCACCTTTGAACCAGTTTAGGATGAAGAGGTTCTTCGTGCTGAGGGTAAAATACTTTTAAAGTAGCCATTGACACAGGGAGGATTTTTACAGCCACGATTTGATGGTGTAGCTTGTAACATTGGTCAGTTTAAAAACTCGCTGAACTCTACCTGTGGTCGTAGTGGGGTTATGTCCAGAAGTGCTACCTTGTTGAAAAATGCTATTACAGCGCAAAACGATAGCAGAGGGTTACTATATCCCTTATCAAATAATGTGACCAGAGAAAAATAATAATTAACATTAAAAGATAATTTTCTTACTGTCATGTTTCAGTAGGTATCACTTTTAATTGCTTCCTCTTTAAAGTGCCTTGATAGTTTTTTAGTTTTGTTCTTTCAAAAGCCGTTTTTGCATATGCACTCTGGATAATATCTTGATAATTACGCAATAATGACAATATTTGCCTTCATATCAATGCTATGTGTAGTGCAACGGAATGACAACATCAACAAAATAGCAGAGAAGAACATACTGGAGGACAGAAAACACAATGCAGCCATTCAATTACATGCACAGAGATCGTAGTGTTTGTGTGTAGACAGTCTATGCACCGTGCATCAGTCACAGTATAGGAACAGCACTCCCCATGTTATTGGGTCGAGGTGAAATATCCTGCGGCATTCTTACATCAGCCCACTCGGACTTTATGCGGAAAAAATACTAGGTGTCTGGCAGGAGAAACTCCAGGTGAAGTCTGAGCAAAAAATTTGGCTGTTTGCGTTCACACATACAGCGTTTTTCAGGAGATTTCTGCTTGTGTGAAAACAGCTAAACTGAACTGCTATTCTGTATTCAACATAACTGTTAGCTTAGCATTTGCCGATTGTTAGTTCCTTAGTACTAATTTTCTAAACTAAATCTCTTCCACAGCAAGAGATAAATACTGAAGACTTGTGTAAATCAGTGTAGTGATGAAAGATACAACAGAAAACTCAAAGTACTTGGTCTTTTTCGATTCTCTGATTTTTTTAAAATTTTCAAAATCCAAAACAAAAGACGCCAACCAGAATTTACATTTTTAGACACTTCAAATCCATTATTACCCCTTTACCTTTTCTGAAGATTATTTCCTTTTTAATATAGATGGAAATGGAAATAACAGGAGCAGAATGTACATGAAACATTTAGAAGTGACACAAAATACAGCAACCGGTATTCCCAGGATAAAGTGCAATAAATAAGGAGACGAGACATTTTAGATAAATACATTTTTATCAAACATACACTTGGCAGGTTGACATGTTTTATTAAAGACCTGGATTAAATAAAATGTAATCCAGGTCTGATTAAAGTGAGTTCATGTTATGTGATACATTGTTATCTATTAATTAGCTTTTAAAAAGGTCTACTTGGACCAACGACTGCTTTAAAATCTTTCTGACATTATGACAGTTCACTAATTTATGTGGAGAACAATGATAGCAGTTAAACGGCTCTCCTATCTAATGACTTATTTGAATAATCGAATATATTTTGCTCATATTACGTGTGCACTCACTTAAGGAACATTTCAATTTCAAGACTTTGGCTTGCAACAGACAGTGTGGGGACATTGTTATGCTTTTAGTACTTGAAAAACCTGAACACTCTCCCCAATACCTTACCTTACCTTACCTTGGTACACACTTATTTAATTAGAGTGGTCAATATATATAGTCTTTAAAATAAACACATATTGTCATGACTGTGCCTAAGAGGTGTTGACTGAAGGCTTCATTGGAGCAGATTTAAAGTCTGAAATGAGATGATTGCTGATAGATCAGTGTACTTTTCTGCCTTTAAATTAAGAGGAAATTGCATGACAGTAAATATTGTTTGATTAACTACATGAATGCCAAAGATATGCTTGAGATAATAAAAAGCAGCATGAGAGCCCTAACAACCTTTATTCTGTTAAATATCTGTTCTTCTTTGTCTTTTTCAGGTTCTTATTATTTGCTCATCTTGTGTGTGCAAGAATTTACATCAAATGCAAATGCAGTAAAGTCAAATATGACTAGGGATGTAAAGATTAATCGTAAGATAAATCGATTCAAAGGTGTCATGGTTCACATCAGTACTCTGAAAAATTAATCGCAATAATATTGTGAGTGTCAGCAGCTGCAGAGCAAGATTTTGAAATTGAGGATGCACAACTGTCTTTTAAACGGGAAGTGTGGAAGCATTTTGGCTTCCCCGAGACAGAAAATGAAAGAGGTGAGAAGATAACAGACGAGACAAAAACTGTGTGCAAATACTGTAAGAAGACAGAGAACTACACAAACAACACAACCAACATGATGCAGCATTAATCAACACCACAAAGAGAAGCTCCCATCACCTCCCCTTGTTCAGAGAAAAAAAACATTAAAAGGTCAAACCACACTGACAAGCGGGTTTACAGCCCCTAAAGGAATCTTTTCCAGTCATCATTTGTCTACAGTCTCATTTTGTAAAATAAATCGTGAGAGAATCGTATCGTACAAAATTGCATGTTAGAAATGTAATTGCATATATGGAAAAGAAAAACATATATTTGGTGTGTGGAGAGAGTAATATGCTCTGAAGCTGTTGCTTTAAATACGTGAGTTTTTCAGATTTACATCCAAGCTGCACACTCAGCTTTCTTCATTCTCAGTCATTTTTTTTAAACATGCTGAGGCTTCATGTTTTCCGTTTATTGTTATTTTGTTTGACACACGGACGCGCTGACATTTTGTTGGAGTACAAGTCCCAGCTGCACATCTGCCTCAAAGATTACCCCTTAAGCTCTCTGTGCACACATTGTGATTGTCACAATGGAAAATTAGAAAGTGACACGCGTGCATTTCTGTCTCCTCAGCCTGGCACTCTGAATCAGGCCATCAAAGACGTTGAAGCTCTGGTGGATAAAGAGTTGGATGGCGGCGTTCGCAGCATTTGGCTGATGGCAGAGTGAGTTCATGATTCCATGTTCTGTTACACCGCTTCATGTTTGTGTTGACAGTGTATTGTCTGCCCAGTGAAAACCTTGTAACACCCATCCCAACTTACATTTGTAAGAAATATTTATACACTTGATACATGGTTTGTATAAATATCTAGTGCGTTAAAGCTGATTTTGGTGAATTATTACCTGTGTTTTATATTGCTTTGTCAACAATAATAACTGTGAAGCCGCTGTAACGGTTGTTTTAACAGATAATGAATTACTGATGACACAGTATACACAGTCATTACATTTAACTGGCCTCAAAGCTTCATTTAGAATTTAGTCTTTCACTACCATAAAGGTTGTCACAATGCCAGAATGTCAATCTTCTATATGATACTAGTAAAAATATGATTATAGTGATACATGACCATGGCAACAAATAGCGGTCCGTAGACACCCAGGATTGGGTAACGTCTTGTTTTTAATTATCAAAAGTTGCAGGCATAGTCCCGCAAACTGTCTAAATTGCACAAAATCATTGGCAGCGTTTCAGTGCCAGTGTTCAGGAGTTTGCCTGCAATTTTTGGTGGATTCATTCCTCTCCTGTGCGCCCCACTTACAAGATAGATATACTTTATAAAAGCTCAGTACTTTTCAGTTCTATCATTCATAAAACTAACAGAGATTGTATCTTTTTTAAAATTGTATTATCCAAAAAAGCATTGAATAAGAATAAAAGTATTGAACATTTTTACAACTGTAATAACCCTTGAACACCTTTTTTATACGAGTACGAGTAACTGAGGACAGGTTTAGACTAGTCGACTAGTCAAAAGTTAACAAAGAAATACTCAATTGTTAGCACAATTTATTGAACATGGATAAACAGTGCTAACAGTGCAAGCTGTCAGTCCTCTTTCAGGCTAATGTCCACATTCTTGTGCCGGTTACACATTGCTCAGGTGGAAATACCAGTTTAAACTCACGCAGTCTACATACAACTTTATCTCCATCGTCTAGAGATCAAACTACTGCCTAACTGCTCAGCGCTGTGATCAACTATCCCTTCACTGTGCTGGTTTACATTCAGATAAATCTGAGTTTTTGAGGATTTCTGAAGATTTGTTAGAAATTTGGGTGAAGATTTCTTGTTTAAAAGTTGTTGGCGGGTCCTGAGGCTCTACCAGTTGAGAAGCACTATTCTAGTCAAATCACTGTATTCATTCAGTAAGACAATAAAACAGATTGTTGCCTTGCTCTATTCATTTCCCATTTCCAGGCCAGATACTACAACAAAGGATCCAGAGATTCTGTTAGTTGGATTATAGAAAAGAAACCACTGAAATGTAACCTGAGTTACAACATTCACCCCGGAGAGAGATGATGTGTAGATATGTACTTTGAGTTTACAGTATTATGAGTTTATCATTCATAATCCATGGTTAACATATGTACTGCAGAACTGTAAGAGTACGCTTAGTGAGGGAGATTAGTGTTTTAAAGTCTACATATCTAAATATTATATATAATAATGCAGGCCCCTAGTTCATAACATACAGATGTGCTCATTAAAATAGATATATCAGTGTTCTTACAAACCCCAACCTCCAAAGACGATCTCGTTGAAGTCAAAGCAGAGGTAGAGATTTAAGTGCCTCGAACACAGAGCAAAATGAAGTGACTGCAGGACATTTACCGCGTGCACTTGCAGATGTCAGGTTGTATCAGTCCTGTAAAAAAGCTTTCAGGAAACATTTAAAAGGCTGGCCATGTGAGGATGAATAATACATCCCGTTTATGCAGCTCTGTCCAACACACGGTAACGTTTGTCCTACATTTGGACTGGATGTTTGATTTCTTGCAACAGAAAGAGTGCATTATATGGTAAGTCAGTGACGCTGCTGCTGCCTTTCCCAAAGGGAGGATGGTGACTAATGTCAGAAAAGCACGAGAAATTCCTCAAATGTGGCTTTGCCAAGGAGGATTTTAACTAGATTTAGAAAGCATAAGATGATCTAATGGAATCTATTTGAAATGTTTTGATGCTTGATGTTTGTTTTCTATGTTTCTCCTTGACTTCATGACTTGTTATTCTTTTTGTTTATGCATTTTCTGAGATAATGTTTACCATACATGAATGGATTTTAACTGGTAATCTCCAGTATAGAATAATGAGTGAGACGTTTTCAGCAGCAGTGGATCATAAATAAAAACACAAAAGGTAACTGAAGGTTATCTTGTTCATTATCTCTATTTGCTGAGAGTTATTCTGGGATGATTATGATGCCAATTCATGTCTTCATGCTTTCTATGACTAAAGAGCCAGCAGGTGTGGATAAATAATGTGAGTACAGAAAATGAATACTACTCTTAGGTCTGTGCAGTAAATATGAAGGCAAGGTAGCACTAGTTAGCTTTGTCCTGTGCTTGAAAAATAACACAACACATTAAACATATGCATAATAATGTTTTAAGTAATATATGACAGTAAGATGTGCCAACACACTTTGTTGTCCATTTCATTTAGATAAAAGAGAAAGTAGCTGTTTCCTCCTGCCTCCATCTTAATGCTAAGCTACGCTAATTGACTGCTGCCTGCAGCAACCTATTTGAATACAGACATGAGAATTTTGTCCATTATCTCATTTAACAATTGTCAAGAAAGCACAAAAACGTTTTTTTTTTTCCCGAAATGTTAAAATTCAAGTGTCATAAATCTGTGTGTCATTGACCGTAATATATTTAAGTGATGGCTCCACCAAGCCTCCAAATATAACAGCCTGAGTTTATTTAGACCATAATTTCAGGCTTTGAAAAATAACACAGAAGAAGCTGTGTCAGTGTGTGTGTGTTGTTTTTGGTTTGAGAATCCTTCAATGTCTCTACAAAGGGACTTCAGTTCAGGCCTCAGTTTCCTGTGTCGTCCTCTGAGTAACCCTGTGGTGATGCTTCAAGCTGACACCAGCACAGTGTCAGATGCTGAGTCTCTGTAACAGTCTGCACTGCCTCTGCTAAGGTCAAGGATAACGTTCATTCACAGTCAAAGATCTTCACTACTACTCCCATGACTCTTAATCATTTTCTGGCCTCAAATCGATGAAGCAACTCGGGGAGATTCCCTGCTGCCATGAATCAGTTGTGCACAGTGATGAGGGAGTTAGTTCACGTGATACAGGGCTTTATTTGTTTTACTTTAGTTAGTAAGACTGACATTTTAATGAAGAGAAAGTAAGACTTTAGCTTGTTTCTTTAAAGGTGGTGCTGTTAATTGTATGTCCTCTACTTCTTTTTGGTGGTAAAAACTGAGTTAGTTAGAAATGCTTGCATGCATATTGTATGATCTTAGCCAAAGGGCATCTTTGGAAATTGTGAAGCTTTTACATTACATTATTGAGCAGCTCTGCTTAACATGTTTTTTGTATTAACTTTAGTTAACCTCCTGCAGAACAATAACACCAGAACTGCTCCTCCTAACACGTACACACACACACGCACGCACACGTACACGCAACCACACACACACAAAAAAACAGGAAGTGCACGTGAAAAATATTTTACTACAATGGGTTTACATCATTGAGTCGGCACAGAAAATGTCAAAAAGCAAAATGAGGGGCCTTGACTTTTCATCCTCTTTTACCCGAAGTCCTAACACAACACAAGCCCCTCGTTACAGGTTGTGCATTAATGTGGACTTGATTTGTGAGCATGTTAGTGTATAGAAGGATTTTCTCTATACATTTTTATAGAAGATAGAAGAAAGACTGTTCTTGGATGGTAGTCACCACTAGTATCTTGGCAACTGTTCTTGGCCAAGCAGTAGATTGGCACATATCCTAAGCAAAAACAAACAGGATATAAGTTCTGAAGTAGTAATCAAAGGTACCAGACAAGTCACAATGTGCTGTATACTCACACATACACAAAACTCCTGAACATTTCAGGGTGAGCTGCATGTGTGAACTCAACAGCCTTACCTATCACACCCACTTTAGCCCGACTTTTTCCTGCCAGCTCCCCACTCAGAATGTCTGCTTGAAGTCAGACGGTAAAGTCAAGGGGTAATGAAGGTCATGTCACTCAACTGGTGAGCTCCCAGTATGTTCTTCTCTTCTTTGTAGAAGATACTGGGGATATGTCCAATAACGTGTAGCACATGTCCTGCCTCCAGAGACCACCTTCCCCGGTCGGAGGGAAAATGCTGTGAGAGGCAACTGTGGAATATTTCAGGAGCAGCCTGTCCTGACATTTTCGGGAAATTTTCAGGTGTGCGTCTGTGACATTAGAAGTGGAGGAAAAGTGCTTGGAGTGCACTGGTCTCAGACGCATCCAATTGGCCGTTTTTCCCCAAGTCCCTTTACGGTGAAAAAAGCTGTTCAAATGTTTCTTTGAGAAACTTTGTTTAAAATTGATAGCGCCATTAAACTCTTATTGTCTTAAATTTGAAATAAGGAAAAAGGTCTGCACACTGTTCAGCTCAATTTTATTAACCCGGGCAACTTTGGATCGTCAAGATCTTCCTCAGTCCTTGTAGATCGAGACGTTGCTCTGGTTAAATAAAACTGCCCTTTGGGAGCTGAACAGTGTGCAGACCTTTTTCTTTTTTTCTTTTTTCTGCATTTGGCACATTTCTTACTCTGTACCTGTGAACATTTCTCCGTGATGCGTGCACATCTTCTCTTAAACTTGAAATAAACGTAACATTTTCCTTTTTAAGTCTAACACACTTATTGTCTTCCTGTTTCAGGGTAGACCACTGGAACAATGAAAAGGAGCGTCTCGTCCTCATCACAAACGGCTCTCTCCTGGTCTGCAAGTACGACTTTGTCATGTTCAACTGTGAGCAGATCCAGAGAATCCCTCTGAACTTTGTGGACCGCATCTCCCACGGCACCTTCAGCTTCCCGAAACACTCCATTCTTCAGTAAGTGTGTCCTCATCAGCACCTCAATTAGTCCTTCAACAAAGAACTTCAAGTACACTCTGTCCAACAAAACTTGCAGCTTTGGGAAACGATAACCAGGAAACTTTTTTTTAACTAAAAAGAAACGGGTTCAACGTCTATTGTAGTGTTAAGGAGAGAGCCTTTGATCTCCAGGGCTTTGACTCATTTTTAGTCATTTTCAGTAAGTCTACTTAAGAATAGCTCTTTGTATCATTTAGTCACTGATTAAAAATAAAGCCTTACTTTGACTATTACAAATATTAGCCCTTATAATCTGCCCTGTGCTCTAATTTGCTTCATAAATAGGAACTTCCTCCCCCCCCAAAAAAAAAAAAAAATCCCTTTCAGCAGATTAACACAAAAACATGACTCACTTTCTAATGCTAATCACTTCATAACGTGGAGTCATGTGTTTCATCTCACGACACGTCCTCAAGTTTTGAGAAGATTTTGAAAAAAGTTATGAAAAATTCAAACATGCAGCCTTTTCAACCGATTTCAAAGATCGCAAAGAGTATGCATGATTTACTGAAACGTATCAAAGTTGATTTGAGTTGTCGGTGAAAGGCGTGAGACGATGCTAAGGGCAGCATCAGACGTGCGGTGCGGTCGGGGGGGATACATGCAAACGATCGTGCAGGGAGCAACCGGGGACACGTAGAGGAGGCGAGCTGAAACAGACGTGGCAGGCAGACGAGTGTGTGGAGAGTTTTTTGGGCTTACGAGTGCAGAGCTGTCACTTGGAGCTGTCGCTTAACTGATTAGTGGCAAAATTAATGTAGTCCTTTCATCTAAACCTTTTAAAGACGGCTCAGGGGATACCAAACCAACTAAAACTAATTTGATGAATAAAATGTAATGTGCTGTGAAGAGCTTAGAGAGCGCTGCCTTTATTGGAGGCTTTATCTCTGCACATTACGTTGAATTATACATAAAACGCTCTTGAAAGCCACCCGGGAGTCCGACAGTAAAGAGACGGTTTGAAATGAGAAAGACTGGAGCCTCAAACACTTCCTCTCTCTGTCTTCATCTTCATGGCTCCCTCCTCCTTATTTCTCCTCGTCTTCCCCTCCGTCTCTCCCTCAGGAGGTGTCTTCTTTTAGTCTAGGTCATTCCGTCTTATTTTTGGCAGAAATGGATCTACAGTAGAGTAAGTATGAAAATTAATCCTCCACAACACAATCGTAGGAACTTTTCTCCACATCCGAACATTTACTTTGAGAGGAAAGACTTAAAGATCAGGCTGACATGTTGATTTATAATTCTGTTTCAGTAACCCCTGACCTTTTTAGTCAACCCTGTTTTTCCAAAAGCCACCTTTAAGGACTTTTAGAGACTTTTGGAGGCACATAGTTGTGTAAATAATTGCTAACATATTTTAATCCATTGGATAGGTATGTATAATTATAAAAAAAAAACAGCAGCTTATCAGCACAGCGGACAGTCAGGAAGCAACATTAGCATTGTTTGGAGTCTCATTTTAAGTCAATATTTACCTTCATCTTGGCTCTGTTTCTTGTCTCCAACAACTCCACATGGAAAATACTGCCTCTTCAAAGGGATAGTTCAGACTTTTTAAAGAAGGGCTGTATGACGTGCATATCAATAGTGGGTATTTAATCAGACACCTGATTGGAGAAGCCAGTTAGACATGAAAGCTGAGCAATAAACCACAGAGTGTCGACAGCAGCAGTTCACATTTTAGTAACCTAACAAAGGCTCGGATGGAGAAAGAATGGCTATAACTCAAAAGCTGCACTGCAGTGTAATCTCAATGTAAACGGGCTAAAGTGTGCATTATATTTGAAGTATTTTCTCTGTTCAGCTCACCATAAAGAAGTCCTTTCCTCTTGTACGATGTTTCTTAACCTCCTGACCAATTGTTGTTACCCTGCAGAAGGAACTCCTTGAGAAAACAGGAACTAAACTTTACTCTTTTTTTTAGATTTCAAAGATAATGTGTGTTTGTATTTTTTCTGCACTCTTCAAACAAACAGCATCCTGATAACCATATACTGTAGATCTCACCACTTTCTGTTGCTGTATTTCATCGAATCATCATAATTTAATAAACTAAAACTAAAATGTTTGACAATGGAATGGCTGTTAAGGGAAAGGAGAAAAAATGAACTTTTAAACTGAGGTGTATTTAAAACTGAGGTGTATCTGTGTCTGTCGTTGACCCTGTCCACACCAGTGTAGCTTAGCTCTGGTTTCAGTTCTCCTACTGGCTTGTTAAAATGATAGTTCATAGCTTTTATATTTATCGATATATAGGAGAGAGGTACTGAGATCATCTTCTCACTCTCTGTGAGAAATATAAAAAGCACATTCCTTAAAACCTCAATCTAATTCTGTAAGGTGTATGCAACATGGACATGACACATAATCGATCCCTATTATACTTATAGGAGGATACTGGAGTGCAGGTCAGAGGGGGACTGGGCCTAGTGTGAGTGTGCCCTAAGACTGCGCACTTCAGAACTTGTGGAGAATACAAAGATTAGATATTGAAGAGATCTTTTGTGAAATGAGCACATCCAGACAGCAATGAAATACTACATTTGTTCTCCAAGTACTATTTCACACTGAAAATAAAATAACATTACTTTGTATACGTTAATTAAACAAAGTCTGCCTCTCTACACCAATATATATTTATTGCCTATCAGCTGTGTTTCAGCTGCTAGTTCATGTTTCTCTTTGTCTTTGTTCTTGGGTTCACATCCCTGTGAGTGAGGAAACAGTCCACAGCTGACTGTTGAGATGTGACCACTTGATGTCAGTGTACATCCTCAGTACAGACAGTTCATGCAGGAGCGCGTCACATCACATTCCTTCATCTGTTTGATGTTGTCATGGATGATTCTGCGACTGCGTGTGTGAGTCCTTGCTGCTAAAAAAGTCCATCACATGAACACGCTGCATCAAATTGGACACCTTCAGAGTTGCATCAGAAAAGCAATTCCCCTCCTCCTGAAATAATTATACACAGACAAGAGCCTGGAGGATGTTCAGCATGTTAAATGTATTGAAGTTGAACCTTCAGAAACACTGACGAGAATTTAGGGAGAGAAAAAAACACAACGTTACAGCAGGACTGTTCATGCAGGCAGTGATGTAAAACAAACTGTATGACAACCTGTAGACAGTTCATACAGACACTTTAAAGTCTGTGAGCATGTCATCATGCATCACAAAGAAACACCTGTTCAAATACAGTAAATCTGTTTTTATTGTTATTACATTTTGTGTCAGATTTTGGTTAACTATAATACATCATTCACAAACAAACTCTGTAACATTCTTCTTTTTTAAACTAAATGTAGACCTTATTAGAGAAACAGTATAAAACTCTTTTCAGTCAACAGCATTCTGACAAAACACTTTCTCTGTTATAGCACAATTGTCCCCCCTCCCTATTCCCCACGCTGGCCTGCGCTCACACTGCTCCAGGACTAACTGGTCCTGAGCACGGTTACCTCTCATACATAACGTCATAATACAACACATGAATGGATTTACATTATTATGAAGCGTGCTGAGTCTACAAGACAGAGGAACTAAAAAAAGAACCACATAGAGAACATGAGAGCTGCTTTACTGACTTTGTGCCTTATTTTGAGTCATTTTAGTCAGTTACAGTCCACGTTGTGGACCCGCGTGCTTGCACTCGAAGCAAGCCTCTTCTAACACCACTAGGGCCAAGGAAGTGTACCGTGCCTGAACATGGCACAGAGCACTCACACTCGTCAAACGAACTGGACTTTTGGGATGAAGTGTGCTAAGTGTGATTGGGCCTAAAAGCACTTTCATGAACATTTGACCGCATTACTATGAGAACCCAGAACAAAGAATACCAACCTCCCTCTATGGAGCGTCGTGTTTGGCGTCTGTGCTCCATCAGCCTCCCCAAAAAAGCCTTGATGATGCCAACAGAAAGTGTTGAGGGATTGTCAGTATTTTTAGTCCTGATGATTTTGTTTTCATCGCACATCCTCTAGGTGCACCCATGAAAACGTATATTCTGCATCTGTTGGGAAAGATGTGTTTTAAGTGCCTTCTTTCCAAACTGTCTAGACAAACTAATTACCCAGCACATCATCTATTTTTTTATTCCTGTCTGAAAGAGTTGGGTGTGGAGAGGTTTAAAGAAACCCCACTAGAGGTTGCTTCAGTAACTGTTGTAGTGAAATATATATTTATTTATGGAGCTTGGAAATAATCCCAGGCCTTCATTCCTCTGTTTCTCATCTGATCACATGAAGTTTTTCTCTTTTTCTGAATCAGGCTTCAGAGGGAGTGATGCCTTCTTTAGCTCCCGTCTCCAACTACTTAACATTTTAAAAGTTTTATTTAGCAGAATATCCTCCGTATGTTGCCAGTAGAAGCTTGCTAATGATTCATCTTGACAGTTGTTTTAATGTAAAGATCAATAGAGCTGTCTTTTCAGACAGTCTTTGCAGTAGCTCTTAGAGAAATACGCCCCTTCTCATTCTGCAGTCTCTCTGACCACACCTATACCAACCAAAGCAGCTTTCACATTCAGACAGCAGAGGGCAGTCAGTTCATTGTAGCTATTACAGAAATCATCAGCATAATGTGCTCAGGGGAACCTCATTAGAGGATGAATTCATTAAGCTGTGAGGCAGGCGAGTTGAAAATGAACAATCTGAAGAAGAAGGATTTACACAGACAGGATGATAGTCTTGAACTAAATCATACAAGGCTAAGTTCATCATCATCATCAATCATAACATATGTTGAAGAACTGCATTTTACTGAGGATGCAGGTCAGGAACTGTAAAACTTTGGGAAAAACGTTTCTGCAGTGGTAACAGAAATGTTGCAAATTTGGGGATTTTTATGTTCAATTCATCACCCTGCATGAGATGAAAACAATGTTAATGCTTCATATACTCCTCTGAAAATGTTGGTTAGAGCTGTTTCTGTTTGTGCAGAATAAAGTGACATAACTA